TATTATTGCTATTGTTGTTGTTGTTGTTGTTGTTATTGTTATTGCTGTTGTTGTTGCTGTTGTTGTTTTTATAATACTCATCATTACATAATTCCCCCCTCCCCTCCCCCTTTTGTCTCTTTCCAGAGCTGTGCAATGTGTTGGTATACAACCAGGCAGCAGCCACAGGCGTCGCCAACTGTCTCATGTACGCGTGTAGGCCTCTCGAAACGTGCAATTTACAAAGTGGACAAGACCTACTCATTTTTGTAGACAAGAGTTTTACTGACACACCCACATCCACCACATCTGAAACGAGTGGGTCACAAACTGGAGAAGAGGAACAAACTACTTCACCCAGTGCGCCGAGCTCCCCTAAAAACGAGGAAATTGCTCCTGTAGTTGTTAACATTCCTTTAGAAAATGTGAACAACGCAGACAAAGAAACTGCAAATGCTGAGGGTTTGTCAGAAAACACCGAGAATGGGGACGGAAATGTCGGCAGTACATCTCAAAATACCGAGGGTACACCTGAAGACACATTGGAAGAGGACGAAACTGGGCCTCAAAATGACAAGAGTGAAAACTCTGAAACCGATCCCCCCGAAGTGCAAAGTCCGTCTACAGAGAACCCAGGAGGTCCATCTACAAATGGAACTGAAAATAGTTCAGGGGAAGCTGGAAATGAAATAATTACTCCGGAAAGTGCTGAATCAGAATCCATTCAGGAAGATTCTAATGGCTCCCAGTCAACCCCTCCCTCTTCAGAAGTTCCGGCGACACCAACCGCTACCCCGTCCACAACGACCGCCCCAGACAGTTCAGCTGCTGTCACCCCTGTCCAACCTCCTCCAGCTTCTCAACCGCCAAACACAACACAAGAAGAGCAGGAGGTGGAGAACATTCCAGACGACAACACACAAATAAATACAACGGCAACCATCACCATAGTTCCCACTACAACGTTGAGTGGTTCTGAGACCGCCTCAACGGCCGCGCTCCTGCCAACTCCTGAATCTTTATCGAACGATGTTACTATTGTTGCTCCTACAGCTACTTCTCATATATCACTTTCAGCCATCTTGAACTCAACTGGGGTTCTAATGCCAGTGGCATTGGATTCCACAGTGCTTGAACAAGAATCTATAGCGATAAAACCCTCGGAGCAATCATTTATACCCTCTCCAACGTCAACAACCGAAGGGATGGCAACAGCTGCAGTAACTGATCTTGCTACCCCTTCTACTCCAACGCTGGAAAATCCTACACCCACGACCGTGGCAAGCTCATCGTCCGCCCAGAATATCTCGCCAACACCAAACGAAATCGGTAAGTGAAACATATCTCGAAAGCTAAATAGTGATATTTGCACATGAACGCGGAAACTTCGACAGTACATCTTAAAGTACACTTCTATCAACACACGGTAGATCATAGTTAGGTCTGTCACGACTGACCAGTACCTCCATCAACACACGGGTCACAAGTAGTATGGTTTGTCAGGACCGACCCAGGCTGAGCGGGATATAGAATCCTTGCACAGTTGGGGAGATTCTCGATAAAACAAACGTCTGCACATGGACAATAAACGCCCAACTTTTGCAAGCAGAATTTAGGGTATACCAAGAAACACCAAGGACGTCAGTGCATCGGCCTGAATATTCAAGTTTCAATTAGGTCTACTGTTATGGCATAAAGCAAATTACACAAGATGTCCTCCGGGTTACAGATGGCAAGGGGATCCTATCCCTGATAAGCAATCAGGATAAACCAAAAAGTGCACGTGGTTAAGTTTAAAATACAACTGACTGCCTCTTGTTAATTATATATTTTATTTTATATTTATATGGTTTTTAATATGGTGTGTGGCTTTCCTATCGACACAATTTAGATCATTTTGGAGGCGTGCTTCGAGTCTGCCTGTCAAGACCAACTCGGGCTAAGAGAAATATAACGTCCCTGTAGAAGACTGAGATGCATGTAGGTCTACTTGATATTTTTCCCACTCTGAAATCATAGCCAGGTTTTCTGCGAGCAACAGCTAAGTGCCTAACCGCTACACCGCAGACTGTGGGGATAATAATACGAATCACACAGTAAACTAACATTTATTTTAAAAGAGAAATTTAATTATTTCCCGCTCAGAGCGTGTATTTCACATCTCAAGGTGGGCACCATGCTATGCACTGTGGCTAGCTCAGTCCAGACTTTCCGTATTTCAATTATATGTAATATTTTAACTAAATGGGCATTTTTGTAAAGGCCAATATTCTGATTAACAATGCCGAAATAATTTGAGCAGATAGATAAACAAATGTTAGCCCAAGTGGAATTGTACCTTTTTACGGTCAAATATCAAGATAAAGAGTTCAAATACAGCAGTGAAAGCTTTAATATCTGTCTCTTAGCTACGTTCATTGTTTACTGTTAACTTCTCTATCCGTCTACTGTCTAGATCTTGTCAAATTTAGATCCAACCGTCATTTCGTTTTGTTAGATTCCAACACTTCGATGCAATCAACAGTTGTAATACATCTTACCTGGAAGACCCATGTGCGACCAAAAATGAATAAAAAGAGTCAGTCTCGAGGATAAACAGAGAATACTAGTATACAAGAAGCCTTTCTGCGAAGTGACGGTTACATAATGCTCGCTAAACAGTTGCAATTCAACCGAAGTAGGCCTACTGCTTACAGTACCGTGTGCAGGGCGATCAAAACTGGAGACGTTGTTGAAAAAAGATTTGGGAAAGTGATGGCGGAAAAAAAAGATGAGTGGGTTTCGAGAGTCGAAAGATACCCAGATTACCCTTTCGACCTAAAGAGAGAGAGAGAGAGAGAGAGAGAGAGAGAG